CCCTCCCCCCCGCCCCCCCCCCCGCCCGCCGCCCCGGGGGCCTCCGCCTGCCGTGTCTCCAACCGCGTGGCCGCCAAGGAGGCGCGGGCCAACGTCAGCATCAAGGGCAGGGTGGCAGGTGGGCGCTGGGGGGCCCGGGGCACCCGTGTGCCCCCCGGGGTGCCGTGGCGTTGGGGTGGGGGTCCCAGGTGGTCGGCGGTGGTGGGAGCCTGGCTGGGGGGGCAACGCCGTCCCGTGCTGCTTGCGTCTGTCCGTCTGTCCCTCCCCGGGGTCTCCTCCGTCTGCCCGCCCTTCCTGTCACCTGCCCGTCCCTTCCCAGGCACCCGTGTCTCCGCCGTCCGTCTGTCCGTGTGTCCCCCCCAGACTCTTCCTACATCCATCCATTCACCTCTCCTTCCCCAGGTGCTCCTTTCTGTCTCTTCACCCGTTTGTCCGTCTGTCTGCCCATCCATCCATCCATCCATCCATCCATCCATCCATCCATCCATCCATCCATCTTTCTGTCTGTCCTCGTCTGTCCTTCCATTTGTCTGTCCATCCATCCACCCGTCCATGTACCGTCCATCCGCCCCCACCACTTCACTCTACCCATCCACCTCTCCCTCCATCCCTTCATCCACCCACCCCTTTGTCCATCTGTCCATCCATCCATCCCCCTTTCACTTCTCACTGTCCGCTCGTCCATCCATCCGTGTGCCCATCTGTACACTCATCTGTTCCGTCATCCACCCGTCTGTCTACTCATCCATTTACTCATCCACCCACCCATCTGCTCATCTCCCCACTCACCCACCCATCCGTCCACTCATCCATCCATCTCCCTGCTCATCTGTCTGCTCGTCCGTCTGTCCGTCCATCCTGTCATCCATCCCCCTGCTGCCTCCCTCTATCCGTCCATCCCTCCACCCATTGTTCATCTAACTGCCCGCCCATCCTTGTACTTGTCTGTCCCTCCATCTGTGGATGCGTCCGTCCGTCTGTCCATGGGTGTACTCGTCTGTCGATCCACCCACCCACCCATCTGTCCACCCCCCGCCTTCTCGCCCCCCTCACCGTGCCTGCCCGCCCCACGGGCATCCCCGCAGACAACGAGGTGCGCAAGGTGGACCTGGTCTCGGCCTCGGTGGTGGTGGTGGGCGTCATCGCCGCCGTCCTGCTCTGCGTCCTCGTCGTCGTCGTCGTCGTCATGACCCTCTACCACAAGCGCAAGACCAAGCGCATCTCCGAGAAGTAGTAAGAGACGGGGGG